CGTTAAGCTTAGTAAGCTAAGGTGAACGCAGTTCGCTTAGTTTAGCTCTCAGTGTGATTCGGTCTTAACCATGATACCAATAAATTCCAAAGTTCTCAACTGACGATAACACAAATTGGCCACCGTTAGTTTGTATTAACACCGTAAATACGTTTCCCATACCACAGTTTCCTGATGAATTTGTAATAACTGTAATAGTTCATTAAAACTTTAACTAAACAGAGCTAACATTAATGAGCATTTGAATTTCGATAAAACCGTGAGAGCATATTTAGTTTATGATTATTGCGTATTTACTTTTGTTAATTATTATTATATTATACAGATAGATTGTTTCCTTTTATATTATGATCACATGACATGGCACAGCAGTCGATACTTTTGTGATTAATCTTATTTATCTTTGATTATTGGCGGTGGTGATGATATTTCGCTACACACCTTTGTCTATTTTTTAGCTTTTTTTTTATTACAACACGATATATAATCGTATATGAATGCGAAAAAAAAGATTAATTTCTTCCAAATAATGCACTAGATTTTGATATATGTTTCACGGTTATTTTATGGAAAGTTTTTATAAACAACATTCTAATTTTAATTTAATTTTCTAATTTTAAACTTTTGTATAACCTATGAAAAGCCAGAGTGGATCGTATCGCATAGAAGGGTGCATCTATTTGGTAACCTTAAAAAATAGTGTATACAAAGCGATATTTTTTATTACGAAGATCGTAGAGTTAGGAATTCGTATTATCAAGTTATTATTAGAAATATTTATTTTATTCCTTCGAGAAAACAAATAATTGTAATTATAATGGTCATACCGCGGGTAAAGAAGGTTTTGAATTTAGTTTTCGAAAACATAACTATATGCCTATTACTACATAAAAATACCTATTACTATATATAATTATGTAGTATTTTTTTTAATATAAACTTTTTAATTTAAATAATGATCTTGGGGCATATTAAAAATTTTTAGTAACTTAAAAGGGTTAGGTCACGTGACAAAAACTACCAGTGTTCTGTCCAGAGACATTACAATAATTCATATGAGGTTTTGTCAACGATTTTAGTACCAACTTGTACGGTAACTCAATGTGATCTAATTTTAAGTAAGATAAGAATTTTGGAATCTAAATCAATTTATCACTCACAAAAATTCACAATCATCAATTTATGCGTACTTAGTGAGTAGTATTTTCTCACGCGGTTTTCTATACATAACAAATTAATGTGACATAAAATTTTCGAAAAATATGATTTCCCTTCAAATTTACATTATTACATAATAGGATTTATTAATATTACAATACATAGTACATACATAAGAGCATACCTAAATAATAAACAGAAAGTTGAGTAAAGTAAATTCGCAAGTTTTCTTTATTTGATTAGTGTGAAACTCGCCTTAAGTCGTGTAGGCGTTAAGTTCACTCATAAATTATTTCTCAGAAAATCGTCCATGAAATGGAGACAAACTTGCTGCATAATCGTGATAAAAGAAAATTTCCGTAATGGAATATCTCAATTTCAAATTTTAATTTTACACCTTGTTATTATCACATTTAAACATTCATATTTCACAAATGTATGAGCCCTGTGCCGTGTTAATGTAACACTACATTTATGTATAATGTTGGTAACATGAGTATTACATGTATCATTATTTTCCTACTCTTATCCCGGTTAGGTACTATTTGGGATCGGCAATGTGTTTTTCTCTTCCATTCTTCTCTATTTGCAGTCATTTCCGCATTTATTCCCGTTCTGGCCATATCATCTTTTACACATTCCACTCTTGTCTTTTTAGGTCTTCCTCTGCCTTTATAGACATAATGTTATTTCAACAGCTCTCTGCTGTTGTGCCTTATTTATTATTTATTTGTTTTATATTAATATTGTTTTTGTTTTTCTATTTATTTGCTTAATTCTACGTCTACGGTCGACTAGTATATATTCTATTCTATTCTATTATATGTGTAATAAATAAATACATACATGCATAATATTATTTTTCACAAAAAAAAAAACATAACCAGTTATTTAGAATAAAAAAAGAAAACAAACTACTAAACCGACTTTGATAAATTTTCTATGGAACCCTTGATAAATTTGAATTAATATACATTCAGAAAAAAGTCTATATCGGTTTACAAATAACGGAGTTATGAGGTAATAAAAAAAATAATTAAATTGTGTTCTTTTTTTACTTCGGTTGAAAAAATTATACAAGAATATTCGGGTTTAAAACATCTTTATAAAAAGCGACCACTTTACATCTCGTAGTCAATGATTCTAATGTTTCTATTCCAAGCCGCATAAAAATTACGAGATAATACAGATGTGTAATAGTAACTACATAGATTATTAATAATATTGAGGTATGAGATGATGACGATGATTTGTATGTGGATACTCTATCTATGTATATAATTTAGGTTTGGATAAAATTGTATCCAAATCTGTTGAGCTGTTAAAGCATGATCGAGTAACAGATATATAAATATTTTTACAAAGTTTTACATTTACAATCTTATATATAAAATTCTCGTGTCACGGTGTTTGTTACCAAACTCCTCCGAAACGGCTTTACCGATTTTTATGAAATTTTGTGTGCATATTGGGTAGGTTTGAGAATCGGCCAACATCTATTTTTCATACCTCTCAATGATAAGGGTGATCCACACCTAAATATTTTATTTTTTATTTTTTAACATTTATTTTTATTTTATTATGTTTTAGCATTGAAAAATACATACAATTTCAAATTTTCACCTCTTTACGATCAACCCCTATTTTTTAATCGCGATTTTTATATGTCGCAATAGGATTGCAAGATGGAAATCGAATATAATAATTGTAGTACGATAAATTTTCATGTATAGTTCTAGAAATAATGTAATATGGTAAAACAATGTTTGCCGAGTCAGCTAATATTACTATAATATATTTTTGGTCTTTATTAAACTTATGTAACTGGGTGTCTTGCCCTCTCTACTTGATAAGGGTGATGGAACACCCGAAATGAAGTAAGAAAAGGGCGACTAAGAAAACAGATTGATGTAGAATGTAGGCAGATGACGGTGTGTATCCCGGTAAGGATTACTTGCCCTAATTCTGAATTTGCATAAGGTAGTTGTAAGTAGTAAGTAGGGGTAGTTGTAACTATAGGAGAAAAATGGCCTAAATGAATAATATTAAATCTTAGTAAATAGTCTTACTATTTTTACATGTAAATAACAACCTAAATAACACTATTGTAATACCATGTATTACTATCTTAGATTATATAGATAAAGTGTCTCCATATAAATGCCTCTTCAAAAACAACTTTTTTATCCATATATGCTTGAATAATATTACCATAATGTAAATTTTTTGCTCAGTATATGGGTGAAATAATAATGAAAGGTAAAATTGATAAAAACGATACAAAATTATTACGAATATACTTGTATTTGAAAGAACATTATAAACGGTTCACAATGATTTGTAATCACAATGTATGTTTATATTAACTGATGTATATCCGAGTCTATACTTAATATATGTTTTCGTTTCTGAATCATTAAAAATAGCTACCGTTTTATTTATTTGTAAACAATACTATATGTACGTAATATTTACATTGCATCAGAAAAAAATAGTTCTCAATTTCAAATTGAAAAATTTGACCTGATTTGGGAAATTTTTAATGTAGTTACTGACAACACTGAAAAAAATGGCGCGCATTGATTTGGTTTAAAAATACTCTTGTCTGAATTAAGTTAGCCAAAGCGCTGGCTAATTAAATATTAATTTGTTTTTGGTACTCGATGTTTTACCCATAATATTTAAGATTACTACATAATCCTACTAATAGTGGGATTGTGATCCAAGAGTCAGTGACTGGAAAATCTAAACTGAAAACATCAAGAGGAAACAAAAAAGTATGTGGGATTTAGCAGCTTTCGGTTTGTTTGGCAGCCGCACTAATCCAGTCTATCAGTATCCAAATAGAACAATACGAATTTATGAATACAAATGTTTTACAATGCATTATTTATGAGCAAGTTTATAGGTACTATTTTTTTAGGAAATGTTTGTAAAGCATACATACATCGGTGACCACTGAAGCCTTACAATTTTATTTAAACTTTTTTAACTGACTTTATTAAGAAAAATTCTTAATAAGTTTTTCTTTTGTAGTTACAATACAAACACATGTGTTCGTTAATTGTGTACCAATTTTGTCAAATCATTTTATTGTTAAAAGATAGGTTTAAATAAAAAACATCTCAGAAGTGACACCAATGTTAAACAATTGTTTAAAAACAGTCATCTGTTGCATAAACAATAAACCACATATACATAGAGCAAGTAATCACTTATCTTATTTAAGAGTCGGCATTGTCTTTATATTGACAAAACTGGAAAATGAATTATTGCAACTCTCAAGAAGTATCAACACAATAAAATGATTACATATTTATTGTGTTGTACAACCATTTACAGTAGGTTTCTGTCCAAAATATTGATATCGATAAAATATTGTAACTGATCAAACTGTTTATAAATACTCCTCTCCATCCAAAAGTCGCCCATTGTTTTCTCATAGTAATTAATTCTTGTAATTGTTTATATTTATAAGTTTACTACTGTAATCTTTCGGAGAAAACAATAAAGAGTATCTATCTATCTATCTATTTTATAGTTTACAATTTCCATATTTAGTGAAATGGTTACATATATTTTATACAAACGTTTTTTTGTGCGTAGTGAAGCTTCGTAGTGAAGTTCGTGCAAGCTACCCAAGCTTTTTTACCTCACGTACCCAAGATTTTTGTCTTACTTTAGCTTCTTCAGACAGGCAAAGACAAAAGTTGTATAGAGCCTATAAACCTTGTAATAGATCCACTTTTAACTGATTACAAATGCCTAAATTGATGCATGAATTCAATATTGATGTTTTATTCTATTAATATTACGCGAATAAGAATATTATTATTACTGACCTTGATAAAGTCGAATGTTTTTGTGAGCATAACAATGGCGGCTGCTCGCTCCTGCCATATCATTTTCCAGAAGTACACCACTGTATCTTCAGTTGGCCCCTGAGTCACTATGTACGCGTTTGGTTTTAATACACTCTGTGAACAATTAACATTGATTATGATAATTATGAAGATAGTAACAATTTCTCTTAGAATTATTTTTTATTTTCTGGACTTTTAAATTAATATGTTTATTATTTATTAAAAGCTGTGTTCGTGACTTTGTCTGTCTAATAGGGATAGAATGGGGGGAAAGGGATTGTTAGCAACGAAGTTTGATAGCCCCATTGCTAGCAATATGCCTTATTAGGTCGACCTTCACGTGGTCCCCCCTGGAAACCACCTTGAACAATTCTTGTTGAATTCGTCACGACGTCACGACGTAAATATATTCATTTGTGCTTACAAGTTTCATAATAATTATTAGATTATATAGTGAAATCGAAATAATTTCGTAAGAGACTATTTTGTCAATGAAACTGATCAGTTTTACCCAAGAAATTTGGTTTAAAAAATAACGAATAAATCCACCATACTGCCACAGTATAAGTAATACTTAGATTATAGTAATATTACTAAAGATACTACTCGTAACATATAGGCTCAAAGTTTTCTGTCGTTTATGAATTTGTTACTATGAAATTTTATAATCTATAGACTTCGATTTGACACTGTATATAGAATAAATAAAATAATATTATCTTTTGTTAAGTTTTAAACATAATAAAATTCTACTACAATTCTTATAATTAAGAGTGTTCACAACTTAAGTTTACTAAACTATGTGCAACGTTGTAATTATCTATCAATTTAAAAACCTATTTAAAAACTTCAAATATTATTGGCTGTTTATTTAAAAAGTTCACTGCCAGCGAGTTAAAACGTTAATCATGCAATAATATTCTTATAAAGCTGTTACTGTAAATTTCGATTTAATAGCAAAAATGCGCTCGAAAAATTCCGAAGCAAAATCTGAAGTGGGTTTTTAATAGTAGATTTATGTATGAGTACAACGTATTTTATGATTTATATTTTAGTTCGCTAGCAGAACACTTTTTAAATAATCAATCTTTTTAAATAATTAGCTGTTCGTCTACGATCTGGTCATTATCCATCAAAAAAATTTGCACATATGATGGGAAAGTCCTTATCACTCCATTGTCAAACATCTAATACCATCGATGATGTGCATCATATTCTATTAGAGTGTCGTATTAACACGAAGGAAAGAGAAGAATTCATGCGCCACTTTAACTTAAATAAATTTAATGTTGGTCTTATTCAATCTATGTTAGCTGAACTTAAACCAGAAATTTTTGAACATCTCTGTAAATTATTGATGCCCATTAATTATTTTCTTTCCGCGTCTAGGGAAAGTAGATAAAGTTTTGTTTGAGAAATCAGTTCAGGGTACAATAGGACTGATATACCTGAAAAAGGTAAAAGCCCTTAAAATAATATTAAAAAAAATAATAATAATCAATCAGAAACATTGAAATATGAATGAATGAATGAGTAAGAACTCTTTTTATTGTTCCTTTCAAAGAATGATATAAATTATAAAGATTAACAACATGTATTAAGTAAAATTAATAATAGAAAAAGGTTAATTATTTTTGAAAATTACTAGGTAACGTATCGTTGCCATACTTCTTTATGAACATTTTTAAAAGGGGATAATTGAGATTCAACCGTCAAATTTATTCGTTTTTATGTCAATGACTGCATAATAACAACATAATACACTGAAAATACTTAATATATTTTACAGAAATGACAAGGGTCGATTTAAAGATCCAAAGCGGTCTTACAACGAGCTCAAGTCACACCGGAACCCTTTGAGAAAGGAGCCCAATTACAGGCAAACGAGGTTGATTCTACGCAGGGTCATTGGACTGCAAGCGTGAAAGCTGCACAAATAATTTTGGACCCTTTGTGATTTCAATTTTAGGTGGTTGTATGTAAGCGAATTTGTTATAGTAAAGAAAAAAAGACGATTAGCAAAATTTATTTATCATGGTCTTCTATTTTGTATGCTTTTTTTAGGAAACTAGTATGTTTTTTTTTAAAGAAAATACAGAAAAATATTAACAAAATAGTTATTACGAAAATAATAGATATGTAAAATTTGTTACTAAATATGTTAAGTAAGAAAGAACAGAGAAGGTAATGGTGCCCTTATTTTTTAGCTCTATAATAAAAACATAGAAGGGCTTATTTCCTTCTGAAAGTATATATTTATATTGTTTATAGAGGTACTAGACTTATATCGATTTACCCTTATGAGATTGTAGCTGTTACTCTTTATTTTACTCGAGGAAAAAAAGAAATAAGAAAGCATCCATTACTTGACTTGGGACCTTTATTTATTTTCGTAGAACCAACAATTCGCAAAATCATTACGGGAACGACACGTGATTCGATTACAAACTTAAATATACCTACGTAGGCACCTTAAGGAAATTTATTTGAGAGATACAACGCCTTTGGGGGGTTCATTTTGGATAAAATACGGTAAGCGTGGAACGTTATTTAGTAATTATTTATAACGTTATTTAGTTATTATTACGTTATTTTTTAAACCGAACAGTAGTTCGGTTTAAAAAATGCGATATTTTTGTTTTTCTTTCTTACAAATATAAAATATTTATTCAAGTAGTACACAGATTTAATTTGTTTTATAATCATTACAAAATTATTCATTTTAACTATACTTATTTACTTAAAATATTTAATGTAGGTACTCCTGTTTTGAAAGGCCCATTTTAACTTTTGTTGTATCAATGGTACAAGAACCTTCATTAGTGGAGTGCAATAAAATGCGACTCACATTTAAAGTACCTACTCAAGCTACAACACGATTATTTTGTTAAAAATTGGCATTACCGAATCCGCCATATTGCTGCGGAATCCGGTAAACGGTTAAAGATGCTGGATCCGCTAAAATACCGGATTCGGTTTTCCGGATTGTAATCTATATTATATTAATGATGTCAAAGATTTTTAAATAAATGCTACAAAGTGTTAGTAGGTAAGTACTATTATTTAATAATTTTATAATTAATTTAGTTAATTTAAATCAAGGATATACTTACATCTATATAGGAAGCATTAATATAATCAGAGTCAGGCTCTCGGTCTACAGTTTCTAGCACCACTCTGTTGTAGTCATCTGAAAATAAAACAGTAATTTAAATATTTGTTCACTATCTCATTACATCCCTTCTAATAACTAGTAATTAAGTGATTATGTATAAGTAATGGCCGTGTGGTCCCGGCATAGAATTAAGCCACCCCTTCCTTTCCCGTGGATGTCGCAAGAGCCGACTAAGGGAGGGCGAGGGATGGGCAGCAGTGTCTCTCTTAAAACATCTCTAAAACCAGCTTGCTGTTGCTAATCCGCCTGTTAAGCGTGGCAACTACTGGCAAAACCTCCCAAGGGGGAGGCTTCAATTCAGCTAGTTAAAGACTGATATGATGATGAGCATTATGTATTAATAAAATTATAAATGAACACCAATCACAAGAATCTTTTTACATATAGTTTAATAATAATTCTAGAAATTTCGGCATCTCTGGGAATACATATAAAAGAGCGCCCTAGATGTTCAAGCCGAAAATTTAAAACGAATCTCTTTATTTAAGCTCCGTAAACGTAAAGGACCTTTTTACGTAAATCATTAATAATGTTATTCTGTGTAGTCATTCGTTATTGTCAAATAATTTTTCTTTCGGGTCAGCTCTTTTTAAAGGAGCGACGACATAGAAATATTATGTTAGCGGTACCATATTATTTTGTCTTGTTTTATGGTTTCAGATATTATTAGTTTGTGCCTGCTACTTTGTCCGTAAAGGCTATATATATTGAATACTAGTTATATATACTATTATATGAAATGTATATATAATAAATATTATATAGAACGTTATGTTTAATAATTATTATGTATAATGTAATATTATTATTAATATTATATGTAGGTAATACATTATATTTTACAAATTATAGGATTCCCAAAAAATTTTTTTTTTTTAATAAATATGTGTGAATTGAGAAAAAAATTACGATACGGAAAAGGAATGGATGGCCTGTTCTAGGTATGTCGGGACCTACACAGTTATATATGATAATGGGGATGAGGCTAAATATATGAATAACCCGATTTTATAATAAAAAAGTTAAAAAAAAAAAATAAGTTTTGTACTTTGTTACGACCGTACTTCGTTCTAAGTTCCTTAATAAACAAATTAATTAAAACAAAACGCTGCTACTTCGAGGTTTCCAAAACAGCTGTTGTTAATTGGTAACAGCTGTTTTGTACTGAAAGTGAGTAGAACGGAACGCGGCAGAATTCACAAGACACAACCAACACAGTTGGGGACAAATTATATTAAGCAGAAAATAACGGTACGTAGTTGAAAACAGTTGAGGTCGCAATTATTGTAATCCTTATTAATCCTTACTTTCTTGTGAGTTTGTTTGTTATTTTGTTGCCTTATATCGTCTTAACGATATCACCGATTATTATAACATATGGTATAAACGTACATTAGACTAATATAATATATTAAACAATACAATTTCATTTGAAAATATTTGTAAATTTTAATGCGTAATTTTTACTAGTGTTAGATATTATATTTTATAATGTTTACCATAGTTTTTATGTATGTATGTATGTGTATGTATATATGTATATGTGTAAGAGTATGTATGTATGTATATGTATGTATGTGTTATATGTGTATTTCTTAAGTATTATTATGTATAATTATTTCAGTATATTATATATATATGTGTATGTACACACACACACACACACACATATATATATATATATATATATATATATATATATATATATATATATATATATATATAAACATCGCCTATTATAATTCTATTGTGTACATATAGATTGTTATGAATGAAATATTGCAGCAGTTACCGTAACTGTCTGTTACGAAACTGCTTCGGTGTTGATGTAAAGCTGTGAGTGATGCTTTTAATATCTTTCAAGTAGGTAGGTCTATATATATTATAATTCAAATTTTAATTACCATTTTAATTTTATTTCAAGGTATTAAGAATAAATGTGGATGGCTATAAGAGCAGAGGTAGCCCTAAAAAGACATGGATGGACTGTGTGAAAGATGATATGGTCAGAATGGAAGTGAATGCGGAAATGGCTGTGAATAGAGAAGAATGGAAGAGATAAATATATTAGGCCGACCCCAAATAATAATTGGGATAAGGGTAGGAAGATGATGATGATTCATCTTAATCCATTTGTTCAGTTATTTATAAATATAAGTACTGGGGGGAAAGGGATTGTTACTAATGGAAACTGAGAATCCCATTGCTAGCAATATACCTAACCAGGTCGACCTTCTCGCGGTTCTTCCTGGAAACTATCACGGTTAATTCCCGATGAATTCATCATGATGGACTAACTGGCCTGTTTTCATTCTTATCTATCACCCTTCACTGGTACTCCGCCAGCGTATCTTGTTAGCGCAGGCGGTGTTACCATTCCATTTTCACCCATCAAAAAAAAAGTACTTACCTATCTATATACATACCTACTTATGATTCATTTTGAAATGACATACTTTGTATGAATATTACGCGATTATTACATTCTTTTGGATCCGACAGAGTTATTTTGTCATTAATGCTGCACTATAGTTGACTAATATTATATTAAATATTATATTAAAGGGAGTGAGTCGCTAGCTCTTGACTAGTGAAGACACGTTATTGCTGATCTACGTAATTAAATTCGAAAAAATTATCTAAAGTTACTGTTTACATACCGGAGTTGTGTCATAGGTTGTGTAGTGAAACGACCACAAAAAAATATAACAAACCGAATAACCTTTTGATCTAAATTTAACAAAATAAGATAAAACATTCCCGTGACTGGTGTACGTTGAATTGGCTGCAGTGATTATTGTTGGTGAGACAATATCAACAAAATTAAAAACTACCCACAGAAAAAAAAAAAAAAAAAAAACCTGACGCACAGTATACGATCGACAATTTCGTTTACGACCTGTAGAAATTGGTGGCGCAGTGAGGAGAGTTACGACTTGACTTTGAAAGGTCCATGTTTCAAACCTGTCTACTGGCTCTGTCTTTTTGTGGATTGTAGGATTTGTGTATGTTCAGTTCATAGTTCATTTCTGATAGATAAATTATTGGTGTGATATACATATATTTTAGAAATGTCCTCTAAAAATGGGTTGCAATGTGGGGCCTGCCTAAAGGATATAATAGACAAAAATTACATAAAATGTTGCATAGATTCTTGTAAAGTGCCGTTTCACCGTGACTTATGTATAGGACCATCCCCTCCAGAAGACGTGCGTAAATGGGTGTGTCAAAAATGTCGTTGCAGTTTGAAAAAAGGAGGCGATAACACTGAGACACCGGTTAAGGCCTCCTCTACGAGCGTGAATGTTACCATACGTAATAAAAATAAAGCTAGCACGTCCATTGAAAAATCACCAGAACTGGAGAATAGTAGTTTGGGATCTTTAATTGCTGAAATTCGATTCTTGAGGCAAGATGTATCACAACTCACAGACAAAGTAACTGAAATATTTTCGGCACTCACCCAATGTTGTGAAAGGCTATCCGAAGTAGAAAATCATATGACACGAACTGATCAACGTTTAAAATTATTAGAGGAGCGTGAGGCTGAAGTGGCATCATTGCAATGTCAGGTACACACGCTCCAAGATCAGCTTAGTAATCAAGCACAGGCCGCATTGCGCAATGAGATAGAACTAGTAGGTATCCCCGAAACTTCTAGTGAAAACTTGTCGCAAATAGCAACAGTCCTTGCTACGAAAATTGGAGTTGTTTTGAATGAAACGGATGTTGATTGGGTGACCAGAGTTGGATTAAAGCGCGCTCCAGGTACAGGGAAATCATTGCCAAGACCAATTGTTATTAGGTGTGTTAGAAGGGGGAAGCGCGACGAAATTCTTAGAGCAGGAAAATCGCGAAAGAACTTGTCGACACAGGACTTGCCTATTAAAGCAGATGTGCAGAAGATCTTTATTAATGAACGTTTAACCAGCGAAAAACGTAAGTTATTTCGCGAATCACGAAGTCGGGCAAGCAATGCTGGATACAAATACTGTTGGACTCAAAATGGCAACGTATTCATACGAAAACGGGAGGGCAGTTCGGCAATACAAATTCGATCACAAGCTGAAATGGCAGAAAAACTTGCCGTTCCGGAGAATAATTAATGTAATCATTCATTGTATGCTTAATAGCGTAAATAAATCCTTTTCATTATTTTTTACTAATAGCATGTTTGTTCTAATATATATATTGATTTTACTATTTTTTACAATGTTAATAAGTATTATAAAAACATTTACTTTATTGTTACTTGGAAATATGATTAGTTTTGATGATATGTATAATTATGTGCTTTGTGTTGATATGTGCTTTACTGTTTATTGTATTTATTTTATTTTATGTAATTTGCAATATTTACATGCACTAATATATTTTGGTTATGCGTATTGTGCGGACATCAGTATAATAACATTTATGAGTGGACGTAAAGTGACACAAACTATATGCTGTTTTTTTACTTCATATTATATAAATCATAATAAACAACCACCATAGGAATTGAAGCAGAAGTTGACGAAATCTTAAATGTACCATGTCACTTATTCCACAATCTCGAATCATGTAAGAACATTTATCGGCATAATTACGGCTTCAAAGTTCTTAATTTCAATATAAGAAGTATTCAACGGAATTTTGATTCTTTCTACGTGGCTCTAAAAAGATTAGACATTGAATTTGACATTATTGTTCTCACAGAGTGCCATTTAGGTGTATGTTCTATAATACGAAGCATCCCTGGTTACTCAAGTTTTTATTCTAGAAATATCAATAATCAAGCTGGAGGTGTTGTTGTATATATTAAGGAAGAGTGGAGAGTACAAGTATTTGAACCAGATATAGAGGATGCTGATTGTCTAGCTTTGACGTTTCCAAACCATCGCACTGTTCTTGGAATTTATCGCTCCCCCTCTTTCAGAAATATAGATAATTTCTGTAATTCTTTAGAATCATACATTGTTAATAACTCTCGTGATTCAGAGGTTATGTTAATAGGAGACCTGAATGTTGACATCCTGAAGAATGGAGATGATGTAACAAAATACCTATGTCTCACAGCATCGTTTGGTTTAAAACCAGCTATTAATGTTCCTACCAGAGGTGTTGCATGTCTTGATCACATTCTTCTTGGTTCTAAGGTAACTGGAGTTGGTGCAGTATGTAAAACATCCATAACTGATCATGAAATGGTTATGGTTGGCATCTCGGAAACTCCAAGGATTTCGAGGCGTAAGCGATTGGTTAGGAAGTTAAATTTTGAGGCATTTGAAAGTGATCTTAACGAAACAGACTGGTCAGACGTTTTGAGCTCTGGTAATGCAACGGATGCAGCTGAAAAATATATGAAGAAACTACATGTAATGACAGTAAAGCATACAAAATTATTGAAAGTTAGCAGATCAAAATACGCTCTTAATGAATGGGTCACTCCTGGGTTGATAAAATGCATGAGACATCGTGACGCTCTTCATTTACAGGCAAAAAAAGAACCAAATAATTTAATTATACAGGTAACCTATAAAAGATACAGGAATTTCCTCACTGACCTACTTAAAAAACTTAAGATTCAATATAACGGTAAAAATCTGGAAACTAATAAAAATAATCCAAGAAAACTTTGGAAAACTATAAAAGATATCTGTGAACTGAAGAGACAAATGAAGAACAGTATTGATTTACTTCATATAAAAAATAACCCAGTAGAGTCTCTCTCTGAATGCAACAAATATTTTTCTAGCATAGGGCAAAATCTAGCATCAAAAATATTAAAAGATATTAATAAATCGGAACAGGACCTAGCTAGAGCAGTTAGCAATGTCAGAGGTTCAGCAGGTTCTTTTTTTATGACACCAACAGATACTTATGAAGTCAGGACAATAATAGGGCAACTAAACCTTAATAGTGCTCCTGGTTTGGATAATATAAGCACTAAGATGCTAAAAAGAGCATGCAATTTTATAATTGAACCCCTGACACATATAATAAATTTGAGTCTGTCCTCGGGGCAATTTCCAGAATGTTGGAAATCTGCTGCTATAATACCTATATACAAGGATGGCCTGCAAACTGATCCGTCAAACTATCGCCCAATTTCTCTCCTAAGTGTGTTCTCCAAAATTCTAGAAAGGGTGGTAAATTTACGCTTAACAAAATTTTTAGAATCTCAAAACGTTATAAGTCATAACCAGTTTGGTTTTCGTAAAGGAAGATCTACTGAAGAAGCAGCTAATTTCCTTATAAAAACTGTAACTGACGCTATTGATCATAGACAGAAATCTCTTGGAATATTTCTCGATCTTTCCAAGGCATTTGATACTGTTTCTCACTATATTCTACTACGGAAGCTCGAAGTTATTGGAATACGAGGCGTGACTCTTAGATGGTTTTCTAGTTATCTTGAAAGGAGAAACCAAATCGTAGTCGTAGATGAACATAAAAGTAATACATCATATATTTCTTTTGGAATTCCACAAGGAAGTATCCTCGGGCCTACACTGTTTTCTATTTACATGAATGACCTCTGCCATCTATTTGATGATGACAACAACGTCCAAGTAATCTGTTATGCTGATGACACTGCAATAATTTGCACACAAGAAAATTGGTTTTCTGTTTTTTCTGCAGCTAACTCGGCCATGAAGATTGTATCAAATTGGTTGGGAGCAAACCTACTTACTTTAAACACTGCAAAATCTAAATATGTTTGTTTTCACAACACCAAAGCTTCTAGTCCCCCAACGTCATTGTCCTTGATTATCCATAAATATTCATGTGATAATAACAAAATCTGCAGTTGTGATTTCCTTGATAGGGTTCATGAAGTGAAATATTTGGGATTAATCTTGGATCAAAAGTTGACTTTTGCTTCTCATATACAAGTGCTTTCTAAACGTATACGTAAACTTATACACGTTATGAAGCTTCTGCGTAACGGCGCGAGCAAGAATGTTTTATTACTTGTATACAAAAGCATAGCTCAATCACTGTTGATGTACTGCATCACAGTGTGGGGCGGTGCATCAAAATCATATATGATTGCACTTGAAAGGGCACAAAGATCTGTCTTAAAAGTAATGTTTAGGAAACCAATTCGTTTTCCCACCTATCTTTTGTATCAGGAGGCTGCTGTTCTGACAGTGCGTCAACTTTATATACTTAAAGTAGTAATGATGCACCACAAATCTCCTCTCCTCCCGCAAAAACCTTCGGACCAGAGAAGGCGCAAAATAATCATCCCTCGCATTAATACTGCATTTGCAAAGCGCTTTAGTTATTATTCGTGCCCATTTATATATAAAAAACTTAATAATCTCTGCAAACTGGATGGTCTTAACAATGCGGAAGCTAAACATAGGATACAAGGATATTTACAAAATCTTGATTACGATGCCACAGAATTAATATTATATACCATTTATTGATATTCGTATATAGTAGTGTATGTCTTTAGTATATTTAATTGTATGTATTTATTTATGTAATATTAGAGTATTTATATAATTTTCTGTTTTATGCGCATGTCTTCATGAAGCACTTCATTTTAACTTGTTGCTTTCGTAAAACTGGCTTAGTATTTTAATTTAATTTATATTTGTAAACCACCGTGTCTTGGTAATCTCATATGGACTCCCGCGATACAGGTTCTCCTAGTGCGGGGTCCAATGTACTCGCTGTTGTAATTTTTTTTTTTTTTTTGTATTTAATAAATAAAAATAAAAAAAAAAAAATAAATAAAGTTATACGTTTACAAAAAGTATATTAAAAAGTATAACCATTAAAAAATCTGTATGTAAAATTATGGTTTCTTGAGTTTCTTAATTGATTTTCTAAATCCAATACAGAGTTAATTATTGGTGAATAAATAAATAAGAATGATGAACATATTATTAATCTGGCGCTCTGTACGTTAGATATCTCAACCCAAAAAAAAAGTAATTCTGTAATCATACTTACAAGGTATAACTTTTTGGTTTTGGTTCTTGTGTAAATTCGTCTTCTTTGTGCCGTGTCGACACGAGTGTACCTCCACTTTGACAGCTGTCTGTAACAGATTTTGTGATTATATAGGTATGTTAATATATCATAATTATTTTTTTATGTAAGTATAATAGAGTTTTAACAATTTTTCCAGTAACTAAATTAGTTAAGAAACTTTACTGCCTCATTTTGGAAATCCACCCTGTATATATTATATACTAGCTTTTATTAATATAAACATTGTAAGCCGCGTGCTTAGTAACTATGTTTAAATTTTAGTTCTTTTGACAGCAATTAAACCGATAAAATACGCTGTTCTAACATGTAAGAAGTAAAAGTTAGATAATTTGTCATTTACATATTAAGATAAATAATAATTCAAATTTTAAGTTTTACCTTCAGAACCACACCTATGGAGATTGCATTCAATCGGTGCATTAGTTTTTGCGTGATGCCTGAGTAAACATAATTAAAGATAGACAGACATAGACACACAGCCAAAGATTTAAAAAAAAATTACTGTATTGATTTCTATTGGTTAATAAGAGTAATACAATACAAATATATACAGAGTTCGCGTGATCATAATTTTATTACTAGATGTATAAAATTCACCATTTTTCAAATTTGATTTCTTTTTAATGCACATTTCAGCTTCCGAAATTATGCATTTTGTGTATTAACCAGTATTCTTATTAAAATTATAAATGTGAAAGCGAAATTAAGCCACAAGGCTTAACCAATCACTATGAACTATTTTTTATTTACTATCTGAACTATTTTCACACACAGTTTTGCAATCACAGCCGCTTGATGTTAGAAACACGGATGGGACGGAGGCATATATGCAAACGACTTTTGCGCAGTTTCCTTCAGGTAATATATGCGAAGGGATTCAGAAAACGTACTTTATTTTTCCTTCACCTATTCTGTCACGTAATATATTAGATACGATCAGTAGAGTTGTTTAAAAAAAGCTATAACAAAAACAGCTAGAGACCATAAAAGGCGTTTGAATGTAAAGCTTTAGTGGTATACATTTGTATTATATAGATATGCGTACATTTTATTGGTGAGAATAGTAGCGCGTCTGCAAAATTGAGATAGGTCGCCAGTTATCTCGCGGGGCCCATAAAAACATACCAAAAGGTGTTTTATCTGTCATCCGCCCAACACAGCAATTGCTTGCTGATAGCTACCCTCTTTGGGTGACTATAAAGTTATACGAGGTTATTGCTATTACGACCGTGTTGTTAACATCTTCCTTTTCATAGTGTTTTCTTTATACTTGTAGTGTTTGTTGTCAAATAAATAATAAATAAGATTATATTTATTTGTTTATTTATTTAAACTTCGATGCACAATTATATAATGTAAGTGTACCTACATATCGTCATAGTCGTAGAATACTGACGGATCTGACGAATATTACATATAAAGGTACCGTCACTATTCTACGACTATGACGATATGGCGGATTTAATACCACCAATCAACCATGAGGTAAGCAGAAAATTAAGTAGGCAGTGCTTTTACTACTAAAATAAGTACAAATATAATCATATAATTTATTTAAAGTTTTTAATGTCATTTGTAGTAATCTATAGTTAAAGTACAAAATGCAGTTGAAAATACGGTTTACAAATTTTTAATTATTTATTTTATTTTATACAACTTAGAATGGCAAACAAGCTGACGGCCCACCTGATGTAAAGTGGTAACCGTCGCCTATAGACATGAGCAGTACTATGGACATAACAGAGTATATTGTTTCGCCCATGATACCCCCCATGCGTTGCCATTCCTGAGGACTCAGGTGTTATTCCTCTGTACCCAGTAAATTCACGCCATATCCCACCCTTCAAATCGAAACTCAGCCATGCAAACACAACTGCTTCACGGTTGAAACACGAATGGGACAGAGGTACCCAAGCAATCGACTATTGTACAAAGTCTCCCTCTGGTAGACCAAAGCTAAAAAGATTGTTCATAATTAGATGTTATTCAACAAGTGTACCTGCTGTTCAACTTCGATGAACCGTTTCAACTGTGATTTCGACTTTGAGCTCTCAAAAAAGCCAATAACCTCGAAATATAGAAGAAATAAACTTATAAATTGCTTTTTTGGGACACCAACTTTTCTAAAGATTGGACGCCAAAACAGTTCATCGACATTAGACATAAATCAACCATTTACTTGTGTTTTTTATTATATTTAATATTCTCAGTAATTTGCTAATTTTTCCAGTTGATTTTTTTACGAAAATACAATTGAATAGGATTGTATATTCAAACTCTATTAGATTAGAGTTCATTTTTGTTCATCAATAATTTTAATTTGGAATCTTAAACAGGAGTTAATTTTAAAGTTAATTCCGTCTAATCTTAAGCTTTTATTTAAGTAGGTCACGTCAGTTGAGACTTTTGCCGTAAAGGAAAGCAATCTTTGGCTGAAGATTATATATTATTATTGACGATTTTCGTGCTGTAACGGCGGCTTACTTTTCATGGTTGTGGGTTCGATCCTTGCACAATATTAAACACCTGTGTTCTTGGGTACTTATTTATTCTTTAGTACAGAAAGTGTGTCTGGACAAGGCGAACTTATTACTAAGAGCATTCTCTCCCAGTCAACCTTAGGGAAGTGTTACAATGTTCGAATATTAGTATTAATTGATGTACATACATATATTGGTCTAGTTGTTTTATTAGTATGTATAATATGTATGTATTTACAAAAAAAAGTATTTTATTAATTGTCTAGTTATAATACAAAATAAAAGTCTTCAATTCTAAATTCTATATATATAAGTAACTTACCCAGAGGTATTATTATTATTCTATATTTATTTACTCATATATATATAATGTGTAGTCTATATCCTTTTCTATCTCAAGTTATATAAGCTTGCCAAATTTCAAACGATTGCTCAAATCGATATCGTACTATAAGGTGATAAACAAATAAACTCATTTTCACATTTATATTTTTGGTAAGAATAAAAAAAAATAGGTTGGGAAAGAATGCATTAAATATGCCATTGTACTAAATATTATTTTGTACTGTACTCAATATGAAATAAATTAATATATATATATATATATATATATATATATATATATATATATATATATATATATATATATATATATATATATAGAAGAATATGAAAGTAATATTTCTATAGATTGTAACTTTCGCATTGCTTTGTAATCTTGAAGAAATTTTCAAAGTTTATATAACCTGCCTTCAATACCTGTTCAAAGATGTTCTAAGAAAGACTTTACAAAAGTTTGTTATTGCTTTTCTCGAAAATCTTTATAAATATTTATTATTTTTATGAAAATATGTACGACGTGGTTGATAAAATTTGGTTAATACCAAATTTTGTATGTTGATGTTTTTTACTTGGTATTATACATATATAAGTCTGGATTTTATTGTCTACACTGTGCATTCCATTTTATTGTAATTTTTATGTAAGTAGATACCTAGATAAACATTTTGGTTTAGAAGGAATGAATAACATATTTGAATTTTACAACAAAGGTAAAGAAAAGTAAAAAAAAAAAAAATACAATTGCATTGGTGAGTGAATCAAAGAGTGAATTTTATGATTTATAATATTTTAAATAAGTAATATTTTCACATATAAAAAAGAATATACAAATAAGAATATATCATAATATTTCATGTAATTTTACTCCAGGAAACAAATATTTCAATCTCTTTACACCAAAATAAATGAATGACGCGCGAAGCATGTTGTGTTTGCGATATGTATGTTAGGTACTTGTTTTTGTGAAATGGCTGTCTTGAATGCATGTAGAATTACATATCTAAATAAGATTTATTACGTCTTATATTATACATGTATAATATAAATATATGATGGATGTTATTTTTTAAATTTATAAACTTTTGTATGAAGTCGAAATAATATTGGGAAAATACAGTACGTTCGTTATATTCCTGTTGTGTATGTATATAGATATTATATTTGGTGAAAATAGTTTTTTTTTTCCATTTATTTAAAGAATCAATATCAAATACATATTACAACCATAATAAAAATAAAATAATAAAAAAACTCCACTAGGGGTTTATTCAGTACTGTAGCAAAGAACTGTCACGGTCGTACAAATATGATGCTTTCGATCTTCGCATGAGGCTTTTATTTGTCTTGTTTGTATAAACAAAATTTGCCTGAATAAAAGCTTGTTAAAAAGTTGTAAATCGAAGGATAGCATTTGTTATGTTATAAGAACGGTTAGATCCTACAAAAATTATAAATGTGAAAGTTTGTAAAAACTTTTGGATGTTTGTTGTTTGTACTTGTATGTTACTCAATCACGCTGAAAGGATTTGAATGAAATTTGGTACACGGATAGGTTATATCCTAACTTAAAATAAAGGAAACTTTACATACTAATTCAGACGAGTAAAATAGCAAATAAATACCACTGGCTATATTATATATTACACAGCGCCACCTAGTTTCAAACTAAGCAAAACATGTACTTTTAAACAACTGATATATATACAAAAATACTTTTTTTTTTTAAAGAAAAATGCATAACATATTGATCATAATATTATAATACTCTCTAATGAAGTTTAAAATATATTTGTATTTTATGGAATTTACTTTCCATTTAGATAAAGACAATAATAAATACCAAACAATCACTATTACTAATTGCCTGGTCCTTAAGTTGGAATATACTGTGTTATGAGGAATAAGGAGCATTACATGTGCACAATTTGGAACATCCAGACTTGAGACAATTCGGAAAAAGTTTTATTCCTAAATTGGCCTGACCGGGAATCGAATCCGGAACCCCATTTAAAGACAATTTTCTATTTGATAAAATACAATAAAGTATTTGCCTTGACGTTTGACGAACTAATTGTCCCAAACTTGAGTACACACGTAACGTTTGGTATGGAGAAGGTAATAGCCAATCAATATATACAAGATTTCTCTAGACTGATCTAAATGAATATGGCGTACCAATAAACGATACTCTTATAGCAAGAAGTAGATAGTTTTCGCAGAAGCT